GGACGCAGAGGAAGAGAAAACGGGCATGAAAGTGGGGGTAAGCTAAGGACCTAGACATTCAGGGAGCCCGATCCAGGGCCAGTCCTAAAAGGGCTGCGTCCTGCCAGCCCTGTGCCCCTCATGTCCATCCTAGAGGGCTGCCGGTAGGCCATGAAGTGCCGCGCACCCGTGGATGCCAAGTCCCGCCTGCCAGGACAGCACAGGAGACCGGGCGGACTGAGGTGGTGGGTAGGTAGGTAGACAGCCTCGTGGCGCCAGCGGCAGGGGTCTGTCAGCCACTCACAATGTAAAGGCCACCCAGCACTGCCATGATCTCACTTGGGACATGGAGTAGATGCGGCTGCCATTCAAGAAAATTAATATATTCTACAGAATAGATTTGGGGAAGGCAAGTTTTGGACACTGTTAAGGATGGATTGAATTGTGTCTGCCCCAAAAGATACATTGAAGTCCTATCCCACAGCACCACAGAATGTGACCTTTGGAAACAGGGCCTTTACAGGGGTAATCCAGTTAAAACGAGGTCATTATGGTGAGCCCTAGTCCAATATGACTGGTGTCTTTATGAAAAGGCGATTTGGTCTCCCAGGGACAGAGACCCACAGAAAAAAGATAACGTAAAAACAGAGGATTGGTATGTTGCATCCACAAGGCAAGGGAGGCCTCAAACTGCCAGAAGGTAGGAGAGGCCTGAAACAGGCACACCTTCCCATGTGTCTTCAGAGGGATCATGGTCCTGCCAACACACCCATCTGGGACTTCCCACCTCCACAACAGGGATGATACATCGTTGTCTGAAGCCATCTGCTGAATGCTAACTTGTTATGATAGCTCCAGGTAGCTGGACAAGCTGACATTGAAATCCACGTAGATACCTGGGTACCCAGCCTGTGGTTTTCAAGTAGGGCTATGGCTAGATATACAGCTGTGAGTCAGCAGCTCAGGTGGCAGCTGAAGCAGAGAAGCAGAAAAGGTTGGTCAGAAAGCAACAGGACTTTCCAAAATAGCTGAACCACACATTTGTATCTGCTACAAGGAAGGGTCAAGGGGCACCTGGCTGGCTCAGTCAGTAAAATATACAACTCTTGACTTCGGGGTCATGAGCTTGAGCCCCACACACTGGGTGTAGACACTACTTAAAAAAAAAAAAAAATCTTTAGGGGGAAAAATAAGGTCAAGTCACCCAGCCCCACACACTACAACTCAAACAAGCCCCCACACTAACCATCTGAATGCTAACATTTCATAGGCACCCTAAGAGGTGTGACCGCAAAGATCAAGAGGTTGGGGCCATCAGAGGAAAAAAGAAACCAGGGGCTGCCATCAGAGAAGGGACAAGGGAAGCAAACAGGGATAAAAACCGTCTGTGGGTCCTACAGCACCTTCACAATAGTGTCCACTCCAGGGAGCCACTGCAGTGACTTGAGCAAAGGGAAGGAGCCACTACACGGGCAACTCTAGAACCCTTACAGCCACCTTCTAAGCTCTAGCCCTTCACCAGCACAGGCTTGAGGGGTCTCTAACACACGGTACAGGGGCACAGCCCAATTGGACGGGGATCAGCTACCAGCAGCAGCACCTGCTCAAAGCAGCTACGCTGCACGATCCCCAGACCAATGCTATTCCGATGAGCCATGCGACGTGGAAGACATCAACCGTGTATCAGGACCTAGTGTGGTGTCCTACAGGTCTGCTGAGAGACCCTGGGCACTTCAACTTCAATGTAATTTTCTGGCAAGTAGCCAGGATAATGACCTCAGGATAATGTGTGCTGGTCAGGGAATGCAGACAGGCTGAAGTGCCGGGTCACGAAGGACAGAGGCAAAAACCACAGCCTGTGGTCTTTTGCCTCCTCTTCCCAGGAGCCTTTTTGTCTGAAAGCACACTGCCTGAGCACACTCAAGGCCTTGTGCCTGGAAGACCACCCAAACCCCAACATGCCAACATACCTGGGTTCCCCCCACCCAAACGGTCCAGACTAGAGCTGGCCTCTGGAAGAAGGAATTACACCAGCCCTGGGAATGTCCCAAGGGCTCCAGCCAACTGCTGTCTGTAGGACGGATGATCTCTCAGCATCATACATATCCCCCTCCACAAAAGGCTTCTGAGCCCCCATTGCTGCTCAACCTAGGGTTTGGAGGGACCCAGAGCAGGCTTTACCTATGCAGCAAAGATGTTCCTCATCTAGAAAATACGCTGCACCTCACCCACACTGACCAAGGGGAGCTACTCAGTGAAAACACACATGGTGCAGACGGGGTTCTCTCGCCTTCAGAGAACCTCCCTTGGGGTTGACCTGAACCCTCCTGCTCCCTGCTTTCTGCCTTTACCCGATTGCTCAGTCCTGCTCTCCAAGACCTACTGCCCAAGAGGACTCCCAAAGACTGCAAAAGAACCTACTAGAAACTCAAGTCACAAACCGACGCCACCAAGAGGCTATTCTCAGTCAAGGAAAGCAATGGGGACACACAGGACAGATGGAACACACCGGAAGATGGCAGATGAGCTGCACAAGGGAAAGTAGGAGCACTTGGGACCAACGTGGGGCAGGGGGTAGCCCAGGACAAACACTCAAGAGTTGGGATGGCCAGCCTCATTCTCTCAGGAAGCAAAGCCCCTAGCAGGTTGGCTGGCTGGATCTGGAGACCAGCAAGATCCCAGACACAAAGCCTGGCTTGGTGCCCCATGGTGGCTCTGCAAGGTATACAAGATGCTGCCCAGCCTTCAGACATCTGTGGCTCCCTGATGAGAGGGAGGGAGCCCAGCAGAGTGGACAGGAAAGCAGCGCTCACTCACCCTAGCTGCTCCAATTCCCAGGCAGACCTCCACCACTGAACTCTTTGCCACTCGGCACACAAATCAAGGGGAGAACTGCCAGGGCGAGAACATTCCATGTCCGCCTACTTCACCACCCCCAGCAACTCCTGCCCCAGGACAAGAACAGGCCCGGGTCTCACTCACACTCCCTGCCTGCCTCCCTTCTCTCTCAGCCTAGGAATAAAGATAAAGGCAACCTCCACCCCTCACCCCCACAGCACCTTGATTAACTTAGAAATAAACTTCAATAGCAGAGAGGGCAAAAAGGAGAGCAGAGCACGGTGGAGGCACTCGATGATTCCACCCCTTTACTGTGCCTTGTGGATGTGACTCCATGCAGGCCGCGCTCCTCGGGACGGCAGCTGCCCAGAAAGAGCTTCCACTATGTGACACTGTTTAGACTTTTTAAATGTGTGGCCCAACCGCTTGCCAGTTAAGAATTACAGCAAATGATTCTATTTGTAATATCTAACCTTCCCCCTGCCTCCCCCCAAAAAAACTGTACATGAGTTTACAAACATATTAACATATAAATAATGAGAAGCGTCCTGGTGGGAGCCTCCCCAGCTGTCTCTGCTTGGAGATGAACACTGAGGGGAACGCCGTGCCCACGCGAGGTGCCCGTGGCGAGGGGGCCTCTGTGGCAGTTGCCGTGGGTGCACTTCGCTGGCTTCTTCAGCACCTCTGGGTCAACCACCAGTCTGTGTCTGCTACGCCCAAGGTAGGTCCGGAAGCCCGGTCATCGCTCTGGCTCAAGCTCGTGCTGGAAGGGGCGCTTCTTCTCTCGACAGTGCTTCTTGTGGGCGGGCCAGTCCTTCTGCTGGCACTGGGAGCCGCAGTACCGGGCCACCTGGCAACGCCCGCAAATGTTGAACTCCCGGAGCTGAAAGAACACACAGGACAACCATGGCTTCACGGTCACACCAGGGAATTGGTTGTGGGGCAGGTACTACGCTGCAATCAGAAAGGACCCGGCAAGCCCATACACTGAAGCCGGCAGGCACAGCGGCTGCGGTGGAGAGGTGCGCGAGAGGCCCGCAGGGGCCGGGGCAGCGGGGTACGGAGCAACCCGGAGCTGGCACTCACTGCAGCACCTGTACCTGCTTCTCAATCATCGTGCAGGGAGGGTAATGGCACTCGTAGTAGGTGCAGGAATTCTCCTCCTCTTCCACCACGTCCCCGTTGGCGTTATAGTACCGGGTCACGTTCAGGACAGGAAACTGCTCTTCTATGGGGTCTGTGGGAAGCTGCTGAATCGCCAGCCAGTATAAGCTTTGCTCCCTTAAAAGGAGAAGCATATGCTTCAGTATACTCCAGCCAGACACGGTCAAGACAGGGACATGACAATGACCTGACTGCGGACAGATAGCTGGTTTCTCCTGCTCAGCATATCTCTGCCCCAGTTTTTGTTAGGACAACTTGACTCTTCTTTGGCCTGCCCCCACCATGCAGCAGGGCTTACCTGTATGGGATGCCAAGTATTTAGAATGTCTAAGCAGGGCTATGTCTGCCTCCCTCTTAGATTTCCCAAAACCTGGGACTGTCGGGCACACGGCAGGCACAAAGAGTGTGCGGCCTCAGTACAGGGACCTGGCCAAGCCTGGCCACCTGTGCAAAGCCAGGCAGTCCTTCTCCCTGCTCATGGACCCAGAGGCACCTACTTCTGCCCCTGCTGGTCCACCTCTCCTTCAATACCGTGAGCCGCTCTAAGTCTTTCTAAACACCAGAAGCTTGCAACTGAAGAATCCTACCTGCTGCTAGAACTGAGGCACCCTAACAGGCCCTAGGGGGAGCGCAGGCTGGGCAGGGCCGGTGAAGGCGCTCAGCAGCTCCCCCTGCTGCTGGGCTGCAAAGGTGCCACCACCTGTACTTCGAGAGCAAAGCAGCAGGTTAGCACCCCCTTCAACCTACCACCCTCTGTGGGGCCAGGCCTGGAGGACCTGGGCTAAATAGGGGAAGGGTCACCTTTACCTAATACCATATACGAAAATTATCTCAAAATGGATCAAAGACCTAAACGTAAACAAACCTAACCTAAACAACTCAAGGCTCCATCAATGCACAAATGGGTACGATGTGGTACATAACCATAAAGTAATATTATCCGAAACACATAGGACACCAGGACAGAAATCCTGGGGCACCTGGGTGGCTCAGTCGGTTAAGCATCTGACTTTGGCTCAGGTCATGATCTCATGGTCAGTGAGTTCAAGCCCCGCGTCGGGCTCTGTGCTGAGGGCTCGAAGCCTGGAGCCTGCTTTGGATTCTGTCTCCCTCTCTCTCTGCCCCTCCCCAGCTCACACTCCGTTCTGTCTCTCAAAAATGAATAAACATTAAAAAA